ACTTCACTAGCATTTCAGGATTGACAACAGATGACAGAAAAAAAAGCACTCAAAGGCTGAATGTTGAGAGAATGTAAGGTAGCTTATTCTGTAGAGATTGGTGACTTCTGAACACAAATTTTTCTCGTTAAAAAAATGTGAGGTTTTAGCCAGAAAAATTGAAGTAAATGTTGTTTCTGAATTGCTTAGTCACAGTTAAAGGAACTTTCTCTTATCTAATCAGCAAAGAAAACAACTGGTTCAGGTATTTTCTGGGATGCTGCATATCACTGCTAAGCGGCCAACTGAGACCACAGAAAGGCAAGAGAAAGGGCCAAGGAGGGAAGTGGTATGTAAAGGAAGCTCAGTGAGTGTGGAGTCACAGGACTGTGAGGACACTTTATTCCATACACACTTTCCTTAGTTTATTGGCTCTGGGACTGGTGTTAGACTCTGAGGGAGCAAAGATGCCTAATACATGGTCCCCATGACTTCAAGAGGGGTACAGTCAATAGGATCAAGCACTGCCAAGAGGCTAAAGAGATGGGCTAAGAAAAGGCCATTGGTTCACTGACCAATAGGTCACTGGTGACCTCTGAGAGCACAGCGCAGTGGAAGGGCTGGGACAGAAGCCAGCTCTCAGGAGGTTAGAGGTGGAGAGGAAAGAAGGGACGCGAACTCTCCCATTATTTATGGCACTGACGGGAAGAAGGGAGGAGGTATGTTCAGCAGCAGGTTGGAGGACTGGTTTGGAGATTTCAAACCAAAAAGTTAAATTGGAGAGAAATTGTTGAGGGATGTGAAAGCACTCTAAAATCATTTCTTAGTCTAAAAATGTCATAAAAATGCATTCCCCTAAATCCAATAATTCTACTTATGGGACTCTAGCCTAGGAAAATAATCAGGAATGCGAGGGTAATGGAAGAACTTTAACTCTTTAGTCTACACACTTATATGGAATTTAAGGTTTCTACATTAGCACGTGTATTATAACTTTTACATAAAGAAGATTTGTAGTACAGAAAGGAGAAAAATCTGCAAACCTCTGTATATGAAATATTCATAACATTCTATAATAAAACACAAGAAATGACTTTAATATCCACTACTAGGGAAATGAATAAAAAAATTAAGATGTAATTCTTCAAGGAGTTTTTACAACAAATCAAAAAAAGTAATGAAAAGTATGTAATAACATGGAGGGGAAATCTCATAAGTTTAGTTTTTTGTTTTTTGGTTTTTTTTTTTTAGAGAAAAGGCCAAAAATGTAATGTAGGCTATAAATATATTATGTAAAAATACGTATAGAAATACAGGCTGAAAACCAAACCATACACACCAAAAACCATAACAGGGGTTGTGTTACATGCTAGGATTTAAGTGGCTTTCCCTTCTCCACTTTCTAACACTTTTGCAAAAACACGGTTTTACTAACCACTTCTATTTTTAAAAAGAAAAGAAAGATGCATGCCACAAAAAAAGCAACATGATGCTGTGACAGACAAGGCTTCAGAGCAGCAAATGAGGGCTAGCGCAAGCAGCTCTGGTGCCCAGCTCTACATGTGGGCATTACAGAAGCGCGGCAGGATGGTGCAGTACACGCGTGCCAAGCCTGCTTCCCAGCCTCCATCACTCTACATAAAATGGGGTTGTGGAACAGATGATCTCTAAAGCTCCTTCCAAGTTTAAAATCCTATGACTCTAAGTTGAAAAAACTAAGAAATTAGAGAACAGACAGGAGAAAGTAAGCATTTCTCCAGTTTCCCACATTACATGTAGTATACAGGTGGTAGGGGAAGGGGAAGTCTGTATTAAATTTTAATGCTCACTCCATACAAAACATAGACAAGCACTATAGAACACTTTGAAATATTACATACTACCCTTAATTTTAAAAGATGCTTACAAATTAACTGGAAAGAAAATACATGGCTGTAAAGTTAAAAATGATTTCTAAGTAAAAGAACAATATAAAACAAAAATGTTTAGATGAAGCTGAGAGGCTTACATGATTAGCTGCCCTATAAGCTTCAGGTAATCACTTCTCCAGGAGTTATGAGAAGAGCAGATATGGGGAGAGGGAAAGTTTACTGGGCTAGAATGCTACAGAAACCTATGGGAAGAGACAGGACTGGATTGACCTTAAAGAATGAGTACTGGGTTTCTTTTCAAGGTGATGAAAACATTCTGGAATTAGTGGTGCTGGTTGTACCACCTTGTGAATCTACTAAAAAAAAAAAAAATCACTGAATTGTACACTTTAAAACGGTGAATTTCATGGTATGTGAATTATGTTTCAATTAAAAAAAAAAGGATGTGGTCAGAGATGACTAAATAGAACAGTGTAGAAAAAACCAAAGGTATAGCTGAGGAGAGTAATGAGGAAAAAGGAAGGTTGGAAACAAATTTCGAAGAACTCTGAGCATCAGGAAAAGGGAACTGGAAATTATTCACATGATAGTAAGGAAAGCAAAAACTCATGGACAAAAGAGTGAACCATCAAAAGCTTTGAGAATAATGTCTGTTTCCCTGCTGGAAAAGCAAGGCTCTGTTAAGCAGAGGCCACATCTATTTACATGATAGGGACTCAAATGTCCATCACGTAAGTTTATGAGTGAATGACTATTTTAAGGTTACTCTGGTTTTGTGTGAAAAGAAAAGTAAAGAAGAACCAAGACTGGGTCAATTGTGAGGCTAACTGCAATAAATATTAGTCTAGGACTAGGTAACATGACCCTAAACCAGGAACATTTACAGAGAGATGGAAAGTAGGAGAAGAAAGACATTTCACAAGTCTTTGTTACCCATCCATGACATGAAATATGTTTAAAAGGTTTAAATGCAAAAATGTTTTATAGTTTAGCTCTAGATACGTAAGACTAAACCTCTGAACAGCCACTTGTGTAAAAGAAAGAGAAAAAGGAGGGGAAGAAGAAAAATAAGAGAAACACAAGGTAAGTATAAGAGAGAGAAATGGTGAGGTGGCCACTGTCTCTTTAAGAAGCTCCTTGGAGATACATAACTGTACAAAGCCTGGTGAATACAACATTGATTGGGAATGAGGTAACCACAAACACCGCTGTCTCAAATGAAAAGGGATTCAAGATCTGACCCAGAAAACAAGCATCGTAACCACCAGATAAAATTTTAATGATAAACACAAGATGCTCTGCATATAAGCAAGATTGAAGTATCTCATGCTCAACTATAAATGTAAGGTTCTCTTAGAAAGAGGAGCCGTGAGGAGCCTCTCTGACCCACAGATCAAGTTTCATCTTATCGATCCAAAAACTCTGCCATTGCTTTGCTTTGTGCTGGCATAATCTGTAATGTTGAACAGACCTCCAGGGAACAGAGAGGCAGGGAAAGGACTGGCATCTGGACTCATAGTCAATCTGCCTTTTGGGAGTTCCACATCCAGATAAGAAATTTGTAACTGGCTTTCAAGATTAAAGTTTCTCCTTTGTTTCTAGTTTCTTTTATGACTCTTTCAGTCCAGTCTCAGCATTCTGTCCTTCAGTGTCTTCTGACACACTAGGTGGAGACCACTTTAAGCTAGAGTGATACAAGTACCTTTTGGAGTTGCTGCTGATTTTCAGAATTAGTGGGTGAAAGGACCTTGCATTTCATGAGCTTTTAGACCCACATTTTAGCAATGAGGTGCAAAAGCCCAATGTCATACAACTGGATGGATGGAATTCCAGATTTCTGGTCCATTAATCTTTCTAAAAATAATAGTTCTATAGCACTCTCAACAAAGGCATTAAACTCTAAATTACAGCCTGTAAAACAGAGGCTAAAGAAAAGTGTTCCTCCTGGGCATATCTTGTTTAAAGCAAAAATACTTTTTCATAGGCACTGCATACCACAAAATATTAAAATAATCCGACTGTTTGGCATTTCAACTTAAATGGTGCTCATTGAGGAATGTGACTTAAGGAAAGATTTTTCTTTAAAGAAAAAGACTCAGCTACTGCTAGTTTGTAAGTCCAAAGTTGGTTTTTGTTTTTATTTTCCTACAGGCAAGACTTCCCTGAGGTGGCTTACTCCAAAGTAGATCCAGACTCAGAAGTTTAAGTGTTCTGGCCTCTACTTTATGGCATTAAGTATACAATTTGAGACTGTAATTCAAGACACCTTTCTAATCCAAAATGAAACTTGAGCTTCTTATTGTACATTAAAGAAATACATAAATGCACCTCTGTAGCAAAACATGAAGAATTCATGAAAGTGATTTTTCGAACAGAAGCCAAAGGAATTTACAGAGGTTAAAATTAAATTTCTTGGCCATGGAGACAAATAAAAAGCCCATTTCAGGACAATTTAATTACTTAATACGTACTACATGGTGGGGAAGGAGAAGGATGTGTGGCCACAGCCCTTCCTCACAATAAAGCCTCCAGAACAGAACTTGTTTGTGCCAACACTTATTATTCTTGCTTGACTTTTATTTTATGTCTTCATAAAATACAAACCATTGGCCTTAATGACATCTCACACAACATGCCACAAGAGTAATTCACAAGCTGGGAAAGGCATATTAAGATGAATGGGTTACAGATCTGTGCGACAACACTAGCTCTCACCAATTGCTCCCGAGCTCTCGAATCCCAGAGAGCAGAATCCTGGAGACATTCCATTTTAAACACGGGCTATCACTGAGGAAGGGACATACTCTTGAGGGAAGATAAAGTCGCTGGTACTCAGGGCGGCACATAAAAAATGAAAGACATGAAGATGAAGAGCATTAAGTGAAAACGGTTTTTGGGGCCGGCCCGGTGGCGCACTGCTACAGTGCGCCGCTTGGGAAGTGCAGCGGCGCTCCCGCCGAGGGTTCGGATCCCACATACAGACCGGTTCCCGCTCACTGGCTGAGTGAGGTGCGGGCGCAACACCAAGGGTTGCGATCCCGTTGCCGGTCCCGGTCTGGTACGGGCGCGACACTGAGGGTTGCGATCCGTTGCTGGTCACGAAAAAAGACAAAAAGGAAAAAAAAAAAAAAAGAAAATGGTTTTGCTTACCCAGCAATGACAACGCCATCGTGAGAATGCACATCACATAAAACTGCATCAGGAATGTGTTCCAGCTCGCTCACGGCACCTTTGCGATTCTGCATAAGGAAATGGGGGATGCAGTTTATACTGTTCTTGGGGCAGCCAGAAGACAAAACATTTCGCTTTCACCTACATCCCATAGCAATTTTCCATGGCATCTACAACATTCAAAGTTATCTGGGTATTCAAAAGGGCAAAGATGACAACACATTAAGCTAGTAAGTGTGTATGAGTTACCACATACACAAAAGGCACTGAACTAGAGGGCAGGGGATGTGTGAGACACTATCCTGTCCACAAGGAGGTTATAGAATACGAAGGCAATATGTGCACACAAATTGCTACAATCCACAGTAGGCTGGTAAGTATCTGCTGGTAGTGGCAGATATCTGAAGAAGTTTGTAAAATATGTTAAAAAGTTTTAAAGATACTTTACCTGTAAAAACTCTTATAAGACCTCTCAGAATAAAATGAAAAATGACATACAAATACATAAAGATCAGGATGGGGAAAAGGAAGAGAAGAGATGAAATTCTTTTTCTTTCTTTTAACTGACATGTAATAATTAGAAATGACATTATTTCTTATTGAGAGGTCAGAGGTGTTTTGGAAACAGTATTTAAAGGAAACCCTAAAGCCTAAACATGGGTTGCTCCTGAGGAAGAGAACTAGGTGGTGGGTGGAGCATGGTGAGAGGGAGATGTATTTTCCACTTTATGCCCTTCTGTGACTTTTGAATTACTTTACCATGATTATTTATTATTGATTCAGAAAATATATTTAAAAAACAATTATTTTTTAAGTAAAAATAAAGGGAATCTGAAAGGATATAAAGTATTTACATGTGAGAGGTTAGGAAGAAAAAGACAGTTAATCCAAAAAGCAGGCATGAATAAAGGTATTCAAGAATGTCAAGTAATCAAGAATTTCAACTTTGCCAGACTAGCAGAAGAATTAGAAATAGTGTGTGTAAGTGCCAAGCACAATTCTTAACATACACCAAATGTTCAACAAGTGGTAGCTGCTGTTATTATCATTTACATTCTCAGGAAAAAGATGATGACAGCCATCCCATGAAGATCTACATTCATTAAGCAGCTAGACTCCAGAAACCATGCAAGATAACTTGCACAATGACCTTAACCTATCTGAGGGCCAAGTCTAAGGGCTGAGGGACAAAACTGGACACATCCAAGTGGAGCTATTCTACTATGGAGATATAGGGAGGGAAGGGAAGGATTTGGGAATCATCTCTGTGAGGGCCACAGCCAAAGTTACAGGAACAGAAAAGATCTTTTGAGGGAAAACGTATTGAAAGAAAAAGAGAGGGCTTGAGAAAAAAACCTGGTGCTTATGGAATTTACTAATTTCTGTCAGGTGGTTGCCCTCTCCCTCATGGGCTTTAACCCCACTCTGGAATTCTAGTCGTTGAGAGGTCCTAGAATGCCAGAGTTAAAAAGAGTGTATGCACACACCAGGAAAAGGAACACTATGGCCAACACAACCAGTTTATCAAATCGTTTCCAGATTGGCTCTTAACTGCAGGTCCAGGTAAGTTCTTGCATTTACAGGTCATCCCCATGTGGAGATACCTGAGAACTCTGGGGTCCCTTCTGGGGTTTCCCCAGACCCTGACCTGGGAGATACCAAACCAAATCACCTGCCCAACCATCCTGAAGGGGACCACAAATAGTATGGCACCACTGTATCTGTGTGCAAAGGCCTCGGAGCTCCGACAGCCCATTCTGCCCAAGCACTAAGCATGGACCAGGCTCCACAGCAGAAGTGTAAGATGTACTTCAACAGACATTCCTGCGACATGCTGTGAGTGGAGCCACTCTTAGCCCCTCTCCAGAAATGAGAAACGGAAGCCTACAAAGGTAAAGCAATTTTCTCTGACATGATCTTTCATGTTCTGATAAGGCTTTCTTTCATTCTAGAATTATAATAATAATAATCCCATCATTACATTTAATGAAACAGTTATCATTTAAAATTTCACTCAGCTGGCCAGTTAGCTCACTTGGTAGAGTGTGGTGCTCATAACACCAAGGTCAAGGGTTTGGATTCCCATACCACCCAGCTGCCAAAAAGAAAAATTACATAAATAAAAAATAAAATTTCAGTGATGTAGTCTTCACTGTTAATAGTGTCAGGAACTGTGCCTGAGACACTGCAAATAGAAGTACACATTCTGCCCGCAGTTCTACTCCAGTTCACTCAGCCAACAACCATTTATAGAGCACTTACCAAACACATGGGGTTTGTGCTTGTTAGACAAAAACAATAAACACAAATTCTGTTCAATTTTACATAGCTTGTATACTGTTATTAAGTGCCAAACACTATGAGGTGAGGTCTGTAAACGCTTTCACTTCTGCCAGACCAAATGTGGATATACCTGCCTTCCTCCTTGCTTTCTCTATCACCAAAGAGGAAGCAAAAAAACTTGGCTGCTACTTTCTCTGTCACAGCCTGACATCTCTGAATTTGAGCCAGGGGACTCTGAATATCTCCAGCTCTCACTCTCACAGATCTCAGAAATATCCCTCCTTGCTGGACAGAAAGGCCCCAATTAACACCCAACTCTCAAGCTTTCTTCAAATTGCAGCCCCTCCTCTGCTTTTCTGGCCACAGTTTGCCTGAGCAGCTTTCTTTGTCAAACCTTTCTGCCTGTCTTTCACCTATGTCCATCACAGAGACCTAACCAGGCACACAGGCAAGAGGGCTGGGAGGTCCCACCAGATGAGTTTATTATTTACGTGAATGCAAACAGAATCTGTGGGGCCAGTGTGGCTTGCCTTAGTGACTTTCTTAGGTCATTTTCTTAATAGCTTAAGAAAGAATAGGGGCCAGCCCGGTGGCGCACTGAATAAGTGCGCCGCTTGGGAAGCGCGGCGGCGCTCCCACCCAAGGGTTCGGATCCCACATACAGACCGGTTCCCGCTCACTGGCTGAGCGAGGCGCGGGAGCAACACCGAGGGTTGCGATCCCGTTGCTGGTCCCCGGTCCGGTACGGGGGCAACACTGAGGGTTGCGATCCGTTGCCGGACACGGAAAAAAGACAAAAAAAAAAAAAAAAAGAAAGAATAGCTACCCTATTTCTCCTCAGAATGGTGGTTCTCAACCAGGGGCAAGTTTTCCCCCCAGGGAACATCTGGCAATGTCTGGAGACATTTTTGGTTGTCACAACTGGGGGGAAGAGGAAAATATTACTGACATTTAGTGAGTAGAGGCCAGGAATGTGGCTCAACAACCCGCAATGCACAGGACAGCCCCCCACAACAAAGAATTATCTAGGCCTAAATGTCACTAGTGCTGGGGTTGAGAAACCCTGAATTAGAAAAACACTGCTCTTATGAGTTCTGCTAGAAACTGTGTGAGGTTGCCCAGATCAAGCATATTGGTCACTAATCAGGTTAAGAGGTGACTAGGGACAGACATGCACATAGGCAATATGTCACCATCAGTAATGAGCAAAAGCTTGTAAATCTCAAAGTCTATTAGAATTGACCTGTACAGGAGAGGAAAGAGTATAATTCTATCCCTTCTCTGCAGCTGAATATCCAGCTTCCCAGGTGGAAAAGAAACAATGCCACCACAATGCTGCTGTGTCATGCCCCAAACCGCTTTATGTAACACAGTTCTTGACAGTTATCTCCTATACAAACACTTCCCTGTGCAAATTCTCTTAGCTGTGATCTAATATTTCTGTAGAGACTTTGAAGTGATAAATGTTATGGAAGGAAGCCAATAGGTTATATGAGGGAAGAGAAGACAGTGCTTAGAAATGTTTAATAATCTCTCTTACAGTTACTGGAAATGACATTTTCAGCTACTCTTTTGCATGCAAGTGGTTCTTTTGCTTCCTTGGTCCCTCCAGAGGGTTGATGAAAGTGAAAGGGGGCTGCACTGGGCACTCCTCCAACGACCCTACCCATCAGAGGGGAAGTCACTGACAAGCCAACCTCACCCTTCCTCTCTGGAGAGCAAGAGGATGCTCCCAAATCTTGTGGTTGAAAATGGGAGCAGATATTTTAATGGAGAACAAGATGGGCAACAAGTCACCACAGCTGAAGGGGCTGCTCAGCATCCCTCTCTCCCTTCACTTTTGGAAATTAATTTCAGGCTGTAATCAAAGGCTTGGATTCCCATGTCCTTGTAGGGTATTCTTGTACAGGTAACGATATTGGCCACTGCATACCTTCCAGTTGGTTCTTAACATGTGTTCCCTGGCGAGGCACTCTTGGAAGATGAGCTTCCAGCAAGAATAGTCAGAGATGCTGCTCTCTGGAAGGTGCCCTTCCTGCTGGCACAGCCTGTACCACAGCACTTCATCTTCTGCAATCACCTTCCACGTCTTGCTCACCTAGTACAGCACAAGTGACACAAATGTCAAATTCTGCAATTAGAGAAGCCCCTTGCCATCCAAAAATCAATCAACACCTATATTATTGCCCTGGGTTTATGGCAGTATAAAATGTCTCATTAACAAAACACTCTGAAGTGAAAGAAAATACAAGCAAATGTTTCCAGTTTTATCTTTCAAGATTTCGAAATTGTTGTACCACCATGTAATACACATTATAGACTACTCAGTTAAATTATTATCTAACAAGAGAAAAAATGCACAAATATAATTAATACAAAAATACAAACTTTAACACGGTAATTACCTACACAATCATACACAGCTTTTCAGAACAGACTTGCTTTACTTTTTACCAATAGCACTTGTATTTCCATCTTACAGAACTGGAGATTGATGGCCTCTGAAATGGAAGGCTATAATAAAATAAATACCTGTAACTCAGAACTTCTGATTGTATAAGAAACCCAAATTTATATTACATGTAAGAATTTAGATTTTAAATGTATATATATATTTTTAAAGTTTAACAAAAAACTCAAGCTGTTAACTAGGATTATAAGATCCAATAGAGAGGGCCGGCCCAGTGGCGCACTGGAGAGTGCGCCGCTTGGGAGCGCGGCGGCGCTCCTGCCGAGGGTTCGGATCCCATGTGGAGACCGGTTCCCGCTCACTGGCTGAGCGCACGGTGCAGGCGCAACACTGAGGGTTGCGATCCCGTTGCCGGTCAGTAAAAAAGACAAAAAGGAGAAGAAAAAAAAAGAAAGATCCGATAGAGAGAAATTAATGTTATGTGTGGCCTGAATTTCAACTCCCAACAGTATCCAGAGGAAATGGCCATTTTAGCCATTAGCGTTTTATTTTCCAAACCTAATTTAGGGAAACAATGGATTTACTTCATGGGATAATGTGAAAAGTTGGCCAGACTGCAAGATGGACTCTGCTGGCCAGATGAGAAACTGATCCAGGAGGTCAACATGATCTGGGGTCGGAGACACATTCTGGTAAAGAAGGAACAAGTGCTCAAGTTTTCTGCCCATCCTAAGGTTGAAACTCACTTCTAATAAAGTGAGAGTGGTGACCACTGGTTTACAGTAAACTGTGCTCTTTAGCACTCCCTTGGGTCCACTTCAAGACATCAAAGACAGAGACAAGAAGAAAGAGCATGAAACAAAGTAAGAATGCACAGCATATGCACAGCAGGCTCTTGCTGCACAGGGTGCCTTGGCTGATGAAGTATCAAAAGGGAGTTAAAGCTCAAGCTGACTGAGTAAAGATCTCTGGGAATCTGCTTCTCCATAAAAGCAACAAGAATACTGTCCAAAATAGTCACAATCAACTTTTTCAGAACTCTGAAAATTAATGAAAGGTTTGCAACATTATGAGAAACATTTATTCAAGAAAAATGGCTGAGTCTCAGTAAGAACAGTGACCTCTGGGTCATTTTAACTTGTACTAATCCCATCTCCTCCAGCTCCATAGTAGTCTTAAAAACTAATAGCCTTGCGGGCCGAGCCCGTGGCGCACTCGGAGGAGTGTGGCGCTGGGAGCGCAGTAGCGCTCCCGCCGCGGGTTTGGATCCTATATAGGGATGACCGGTGCACTCACAGCGCTCACTGGCTGAGTACGGTGCGGCCGGTCTCAAAAAGGACAAAAAACAACAACAACAACAACAAAAAACTAATAGCCTTGCAACTATGGTAGCTGTGAAAACCAGCAGCCTAGCTGCCACTGGAGGGGCCAGATGGTTTTTGAGCTCCTCCAAAATATATTCCCCAGAAAACTGTTACCATTTGACCTGTCTGGCAGCTTGCTGGAAAGCTCTATCCTCCAGGCTTGTCTTTATCTGAACTAACTGAGCTCTTCCTCTGTCCTATCTCCAGGGCATTTGTCCAGTACAATAAAAGACAACTGTTTGACACTGCAGCTGCCTGAGGTGGCACTTCCAGTTTATGTTAACAAGAAGCTGACCAAAAAAGCCTAAGCAGAAAAACTGGGGAGTGGGATTCCATGTGGGGCTTTGAAAAGCTCTGATATCTTCCTGGGAGTCTCAAATGCCATGTGCATGTGCCCAGGAAAGACCTGAGAAGGACCTGATCTCTCCACTCTGGCTGACCTTGAGGCTCTGCACAGGCAGGAAATGAAGGCTAAGGCAGAGCTGTAAACGGCTGGAACAGTGAAGAAACAACCCAACATACAGATAGAACCTCAGCAAAGGCTGGGAGACTTATTGATTTGATGGATTTAAGGAAATCTCTGTCTAATCATTAGCTAACCAGTAAGCTAACTGAGCAGAAACTTCAGTGGCCACAAATGACAAAGAATACAAACTAGTTAGTCCAGAAAATCCACTAAACAAACTGCAGCAACAACAAACAGCAATAAAAAATCTGCATAGAAAGGAGAATCTGATTTCTAGAGTTGCCACATTATATTATTTAAAATGTTCAGTTTTTGATGAAAAATTATGAGATGTGCAAAGAAACAGAAAAGTAGAATTCATACATAGGGGGAAAAAAGCAGTTAACAGAAAATGTCCCTGCAGAAGTCCAGACATCAGATTTACTAAACAGAGACTTTATATCAGCTATTATACATGTGTTCAAAATACTAAAGGAAACATGTCTGAAGAAATAAAGGAAAATATAAAAACAATGTCACGTCAATAAAGAATATTAACAGAGAGATAGAAATTATAAAAAAGAACCAAATAGGAGTTCTGGAGTTGAAAAATACAGTAACTGAAACAAAAAATTCACTAGAGGGGCTCAACAACAAATTTAACTGGCAGAAAAATCAGCAAACTTAAAGACAGGTCAGCTGAAAGTACCCAGCCCAGGGGAAAAAAAAGAATAAAGAAAAAACTCCAAAACAACAAAACAAAAACCAAAAAAATGAAAAAAATGGACAGAGCCTCAGAGACCTGTGGAACACCACCCAACTGTACCAACATATGCAAAATGAAGCTATATTGGAAAAGTTTGGGTATACTATTAGAATTAAGTGGGTATTAATCCAAACTACATTGTTTTAAGTTAAGATGTTCATTATAATCCTTAGGGCAACCATTAACAAAATAATTCAAAAAAAGAAACAAGGGAATTAAAATGGGCATACTAGAAAATATCTATTTAACACAAAAGAAGGCAGTAATGAAAAAACAGAGGAACAAAAGAGACATAAGACACACAGAAAGAGGCTAAAATTTGCAAAGTGAAAATTAGAATCTAACAACCCAGCTTGTCTCAGTCTCAAAATTTCCGATTTTCCATCTCAAGCAAACTGTACCAAAAATAATCATTACTACAGTATCTTATTTAACCAAAAGCATGTCAAAGCAATACTGACTGACATAACACTGATGGCACATTAAAGTTCTGGTTTCCTTAAATTACACTTCTGTTCCATGTGTGACAAACAGACCACCTAAGTCACTTTCTCTGTAGACATGGACATTTTGCATGGAATGAATAGCATCAGAAGTTAAACCACATGGGGCCGGCCTGGTGGTGCACTGGAGAGTGCGCCGCTTGGGAGCGTGGCGGCGCTCCCGCCGAGGGTTCGGATCCCATGTGGTGACCGGTTCCCGCTCACTGGCTGAGCACGGCGCGGGCACAACACCGAGGGTTGCGATCCCGTTACCGGTCAGTAAAAAAGACAAAAAAAAAAAAAAAGAAGTTAAACCACATGGCATAAATAAGTAGCAAGTCTTCCATCATTTTTCTGAACCAAAACATTACACTGGCTCAAGTCTTCAATGGTTTGGAAACTGAAGAATTCAGAGGGGTCTTGGAGATCAACCAGGCACATTTCCTCATTGCAAGAAAGCTCCTCCCAGTATTGCTGGCAGAATGAGGTCACAACAATCCCGGAATGCTCCAGTGAAGGGCTGGCCTCCCAAATCAGCCTGATCTACCACAAGGCAGTGTGACTATTGGAAAGTATTCCCTTCCACTACAGAAAACTAACTCCACCTATGGCCCTGATTTTGCCCTTTTGAAGAAGACATCTATTCCCTCTTACTCCTAACAGTCCCTCAAACAGCTGAAAACAGCCATCACATTTCCCCTTAGTAATTTCTTCATAGGTCTAAATATTATTCATTTCCTTCAACTATTTGTCATATAAGAAGTTTCCAAACCCATCACTCTCCGAATATACCTAACATTTGTATATCTATGGTGTACCTCTTCAAATGTGGTACTCAGGACTGAACAATACCCCAAATATGGGCTGTCAAGTGCCATAACAGAAAACTCTTATCAGACATTAGTTTGCTGCTTCACTTGTTGTAGATACATTATCATGGATACTCAACTAATGGTCCACTAAAGCTTCTGGAGTCTGTTTAATTGATTAAATACTTAAGGCAGACAAAAGAGGTGTAAAGAATATTGTGAATACCCATAGACTCACTAATCACTAAGAAATAAAATACTGCTAATAAGCTTAAAACTCCTGCATATCTGTCACTCTCCACATTCTCTTCCCCCCAATGGTAAGCTGAATGTGGTGTTCATCATTCTTCAGGGTTTTTATAAACACAAACTGCAATTAGAAGAAAAAAAAATGTCCCAACTTCTTTCTTCCACAGCGGTTTTTTTTTTTACATGTAAATTCTAAACTTTCTATTAATTTTAAATCCCACCTCACTGCCTGCTCCATACCCCAGCATTTTAGCTGCTTCAGATCAACTTTGAATCCCAATTCTGTCATCCATTGCATTAGCTACTTCTCCCATTCACAAGTCATCTGCAAAATATGGTGTATGGCCTTCATATCTTAATTTTTTTTTTTAAAGTTAACCAGGATGGGGCTGAGGACAAAGCCCTGTGGCAAACCACTGGAGCCCACCTCCCCGGCTGACATGAATCCATTAAGCAGCCCAACCTGGGCATGGCCACAGCATCAGTTACAAGTCTACTTAACCACGCTGTCATCCTACTCTTTTCCATCTTAGCCTTAAGGGCTCAGGGAAACAAACCCTCATCTGATCACAA